TTATTATTATTATTATTATTATTATTATTTGCTTCTATTTCTTTTTCTTTTTTTTTATATTTTGCTCGTGTTTACCCTTGTACTACTTGTACCTATTCTTCTATCTTCCCCTCTCCATTCCCCTTCCCCTTCCCCTCCAATTTTTTGTAAATCAAAACAAAAAAAGAAAGAAAGAGTGGTGTATGTTGTCCAAATATGTACGTTTTTCTTTTGTTTTTCTTTTCCTGAGTGGGTTCTTACATTAAAGTATATATATATATATATATATATATATATATGCGTGTGTATGTACAATATCTTGTACGTAAGTCTATAGAGGGCAAGGTTCCTTATATATCTGTTATGAGTGTTTTATTTTTTATTTTTTCTTTTGCTTTTTTTTTCCATTTCATTTCCTTTTTTTTTTTTTTATACTTTCCTTTATGAGATGTAGTGTGAAATTTAGTATATCGCTTTCATTATTATCATTATTATTATTTTTTTCTTTTCATTCCGTTTCTGTGAGGGTTAAGATACATACATCGAAACCGCTCCTCTTTTCACTCTTCCTTAATCTTTTTTACGTCTCAAAGCGTGAAAAGAGAAATATATATATATATATATAGGTATATACATATATATATTTATGTGTATCTATATTTATATACAACAAAGATTTATTTGATTAGACCTCCAATCACAACAATAAATAATAGATGGGAGTTCCAAAGTTCGCAGCGTGGCTGCGGAAGAAGTACCCGTCGATGGTTCTCAGCCAATGCCCAGCCACCACCCACGGTCTATACATTGACCTCAACGGCCTCATTCATCCCTGTTGCCACAGTGAAGTGGATCCATCTGTGGCCAAATTAAGTGAAGAAGTGAAACTGCAGCGTATTTGTCGAGAAGTGGAAGTTCTTGTTGCGACTGTGCGGCCACGTGAAGTGTTGTACATCGCCACTGACGGTGTGGCCCCACGAGCAAAGATGAATCAACAACGGGCAAGAAGATATATGAGTCGAAGTACAACATTAACAACTACCACTACCGATATCTATACAAGTAATAGCTCTAATAATAATAATAATAATAATAATAATAATAATAATAATAATAATAATAATAATAATAATAATAATAATACTATGGGTGGAAATGGTGGGGCATTAATAGTAGAAGAGAGTTTGAAGGAGTTTACACCACATGAACTCGCGCAGGTGGAGGAAGATCTCGAAGATGTACGTCGATCATTAATGCAGGATACACTCTACGGTCGGGTCTTGTGCAGAGATGATGATAATAATGGTAATGATAATGATAATGATCAAAGAAAGGAAGAAAAGATACCCAATATGGATTCCAAGATTAGTAATCATCACGAGAAGGAAAGTAATCCTATCTCTTCTGGTATAAACCCTATAGAGGAGGAAAAGGAAGAGGAGGTGGAGGATGATATTTTTCTTGCGCTTGATGATGATATTATCGATGTTACTAGTGATAAAAAGATAGAGTTTGATAGTAACTGCATTAGTCCAGGAACTGCATTTATGTCTAACGTTGCGGATGCCATTCTTAAAATGGTGGAAGATCGAATTGCGAGTGGACATCCCATGTGGACATCTTTACGAGTAGTGATCTCTTCTGATAGTATACCAGGTGAGGGAGAACACAAAATTATTGATTTCATACGTACACAAGCATCTTATCCTGGTTTTATTGGAAGAGGCGCACATGTGATTGTTGGACTGGATGCAGATTTAGTATTTCTTACCCTTTCACTACATATACCGGATATATATATTCTCCGAGATGATAATAGGAATCCTTACAATATGAAAAAAACGAAAGGAGTAAAAGATCAAAAAGAAGCAAAGAAAGAAGAAGAAAAACATGAAGATATTTTAAATAATAATGATGAAATAGAAGAGAATAAAAAAGAGGAAGATAGTAATGAAAATGATAATATCATTGATAGTAATCTGAATGAGAATGGGAAGGATAATAATGATAATAATAGTAATAACAGTGTCTCTGAGATTATGGCTAATACGACGTATGAATACTTTGATATTGATGAGGTTGGTTCACATTTAATGTCTGAGTTGAATGGATTATGTCAACTGAAAGGATTTAAACCCGCTAATGAAGATGCATTTCCTCTAGATTCATTGACCTCATCCAATAATTATTATTTATTCCGACATGCAGGTGATGCGAATGGGGCAGTAAGAACTTCCACTCCATCAAAGAATAATAAGAATAATAATAATAATAATAATAATAAGAATAATAAGGAAAAAGAGAAAAAGTCTTGGAATCATTTTATGCCTTGTGAGTCTTCTGCAAATAGTAAAATCATTGATGATTTTATTCTCTTAGCAATGTTATTAGGGAATGATTTCCTTCCACGACTTCCTAGTGCATTTTGTGGTGAAAGTGCATTGGATAACTTATTAGAATTATATGTTACGGATGTCCTTCCATATGGATTTCTCACACTTGGAAATCATGAGATTAATCTTTTACAACTCCAACGTTTATTTGAATCTTATGCAAAAATTGAAGCTGTAAAATTTCGTCGATTTGCATTAAATAAAAACACCATGACAGTAGAAGAAGCGGCAGAACCTCTTTATTCACACGTAGATGAAAACTGGCGAAATATATATCTTTCATCTACTGGTCTTATGAATCATGTAGATGAGGCCTGTACAAAGTATATAGAAGGATTACGATTTATTTGGCGTTATTATAGTGGGAATTCCGCTTCTTGTAGTTGGTCATGGTATTATCCATTTCATTATGGACCTTTTGCCCTTGATTTGGCTTCATTTTTAAAAAGAAGTAATATTGAAAAATTACCACCACCTCCATTAGAAACAACTCCACCGAATATGTTTGTACAATTACTTTGTATTCTTCCCCCTACTAGTTATGCATTATTACCATCTGTGTTGGGGGATTTAATGTTAAACCCACCAGAGGAGTTAAAAGATACATTTCCTACAAAATGGCAAGTGGATTATACAGCGGCTTATGAAAAGGAACATCTTGCGGCAATACTCATTCCATTTGCAAATGCCACTCGACTAGAGGAATTAACAAAAGCAGCAGAAACACAATTAACAGAAGAAGAGAAAAGAAGAGGTAAACCAAAGTATGAACATCTTGTGTTAAGTTCACCAACGGCAGAGTTGTTTAAACTTCAAGGTGATATCCATGAAATATCGGCAAGTGAGGCTGTTCAATTAAATCTACAACGAGAAGGTGTAATGTATATGCAATTACGTGATAGTCCTCCTATACATGCGAGACCCAAAACGTATTCATATACGGCGGCTATTCCTTGGGTTACATGCGATACAGAAGGACGAACAAATAAAAGAGAACGACATCGTAAATCGCGTCGTGAAAAACGTGAAATAGGAATGAGAAGAAAAGAAGAAAAAGAAGAAGGAGAAACAGGAAGAAATATAGAAAATAAATCCAATCGTAGTCAAGAAAATGTGATAATAACAGAAATTAATAAAGGACCATCATTTGGAACCTATCTTATGGGATTTGCAATAGTTTCATTACTAACTACTATGCTGTTAATTCCCTGGAAGGTTTTTATATTCTGGCAAGTTTTAACGGTTTATTTAGGTTCTATTTTTTTCACTCTCTTACTTGGAATCGCTGTTCAGAATCCTGTGATTGGAAGTAATTTGCGTCGTAATAACATTCGAATGACTTATGTAGATTGGCTTTGTGCAGATTGTCTCTCACTTAACTTTACTAAAAGAGATAAGTGTTTTGTATGTCGTGCCCCATTTGATGAACACCGCTGTTTGGCTGTTTTTAGCAGTACACAGACTGCCACTCCTCCACTGTATGATCCAGACCACTCCTCATACATAAAGACTGTGGGTATTGAGATGCCTAAGCGGAAAGAAAAATAAAATAAGTGTAGGTATTTGCATTCTTGTGTGGCTTATTACTATTATTATTATTATTATTATTATTATT